TTAATCAATTGACTATAATATTAAAATAAATATTAACTTTCATAATTTTTCTTATAAATTAATTATAAAATAATATATTTAATACATTCTTAACTTTTACTCATAAAATATAGGTTAAACAAATTCTTATTACTTATAATCTAAAATATTTAATCCATATAATTAAAACTGACAACAAATAATTATTTAAAAACAAAAAAAATAAAATAAAACAAACACACCCTAATGTACACCACAATAATTATTTTTTCTTCCCCTAGCTTCTTTTGTTGCTTTTTTTTGGTATTTATCAACTCATAGTGGCTGCGTGATGGCCACCTTCCATGAGGTCTTTGTCACTTCTTTTAAAAAAATGTGGCATAACAGATAAGGATATTGGATACTTTATGCATGCAAACAATAAAATGACTATTCTTTTTAAGTACTGTTCAGAAAAGAAAATGACTTTTCTATCTAGCTATCACCTCCTTCGGTCAGAAATTGAAAAATGCATCAGAAAATAACAAATTTGGAGCTCGTGGAACAGTCCGGTTCAACATCAACCATCGTACATCGTATATACATTATAGGGAATTTCACTGTATTTAGGTTTCATTATTAATAATTTTCAATTTAAATAGTTTATATGATAAAATATTTTTTTTAGAAGAAATAGACAAATATCTAAGAAGAAAGTAAAAATTATGACTGGCTTAATGCTAAAACATTTAATTATAATTATATGATCAATATAATATATTTAAAACTCACATTATATTTTATATATTTTATAAATGTAGTTAAATTTTTAATAAATTTTAATACCAAAACATCTTAATATATTTTTTTCTATCTAACAATACCAGATCAACGGAAAGAAGAATGGATTTTACTACTTTATTACGAGATATTACAAACATGATATTTTAAATTCACATAAAAAATTAATATCTTAATCAACAAAATATGGCATTTCAAAAAAAATTTAATTAATTAATTTTTTTAATAAATAAAGACCAACATTAAAAATAACCAAATTAAGTCTAGGGGGAGCAAACCCCTATGGTTTCAGTAAAACAAAGAAGGCCCACGTCCATCAGGCAATCATACAACAAATCAAAATTAAAAAAGGGAATGAGCACTCTTCTTCGACGTCGCATCAGCAGCTATATTACATTCCCAAAGAATATGCTTTAAAAATTTTTATTGACATTATAGAAATTAAACTGTAAGTTAAATTTTGATGAAAGCAAAATTAAACTGAACGTAATTCTTTTTTATTTTAGATTGCCTAATAAAAAGTAATTATATTTTATTTTTTACATCAATAATGTTAGGTAATTTAAATTTAAAATTTTTTATTCTTATTAAAAAAATATTAGAGTTAATTCCTCTAGCACCAATTTGGCTTCTAATTTATTGCTTCCTAAAATTTGTCTGGCAAACCATGGGCTGACGGTGCCCGTCGACTTGTATGAAATTGCATTATGGTTACTAAAGGCTGTAGTACTACAATTTAATGGCTTGGTGAATAAGTACAAAGGAAAAGCTGTGCTTTCGGAAGACCTAGTAATGGATTCATTATAATTTAATTAAACCTGTTTAAGCTTCACAAGTTGAGAAGTTAATTAGTGGATTAATAAAAAGATGCTTAGTAATGCTGGCAAATTGAACTTGAAGAATATAATTTAGTATAATGCTTAGAATATCTAGTGAGGCAAATCCCCAAAAATATATTTGTGATTCCTTGGAATAAGAAAACATTATCATCCATGTCATTTAAATCCATTAGTAAAAATTTATAGATTAAATATTTTTTTCTACTTTGTTTACATATTTTCTGCGTGTTCAAGTCAAGTAGCGGCAATGCCAAACTCTCTCTATATATAGTATATATTTGGTGTTATATATATATATATATATATATATATATATTTTTTTTTTACATTGGAGAATTAGGGTTTTTTTTTTTTGAACTTTTTGTCATGGAACGAATTCGAAACTCGTTAGGAAAAGGGGATATGCACTTTTTCAATG